AATTCTTGCTCTTCCTTCCTGAGCTGTTGGGGTCCTCTTATGACTTGTGCCTCCTTGGGTGAGTTGGCCTGTCCTCATGGATTGTCACATCCTTCCACTACCTCCACCACTACCACCCACCAGGGTCAAGGCTTATCGTGGGCTAAGCTGGAAACAACCTTTCTTTGTGTGTATTTAATACCTGCTGTTAAAGAAAGGGCAGAGGTTACTCAGCGGGAAAGGAACTGCAGTAAAACCCACTTTGAGCAAAGTACTAATTCTTTACCTTAACTAGAATGCAAGAGATAGAGCTTTTACCACTTAAGCCATTCTGCCAGTGAGATAGAGGTTTTCTATTTCCCTTTCAATCTGTGACTTTGCCCTCTGGCCTAGATGTACAATAGTCCCCCTGCTGGAGGGGTGCATGTTCCATGACACCCATGGATGCCTTAGCTAGAGATGGTACTGACCCTATTAAGATACTGTTTTTCCTATACATACTTATGATGAAGTTTAGTTTATAATTCAGCACAGCGAGAGAGTAACAACTATAGCAATACAACTGTTTGTAACACTATACTGTAAAGAAATTGCCAGCATCACTGCTCTTGTGCTTTGGGACCATGATTACATGAACTAAGAGTCACTTGAACATGAGCACTGGGATGCTGTGACAGTCCATCCGATAACTGAGAGAGGTGCCGAATGCCTGGACAATGCCTAGTGTATACAGTAAGCGTAACTGGACAGTGCCTAGTGTACACAGCGTGGATATGTGGAGATGGCCTGGTATATACAATGAGGGCATGTGGACAATGCATAGTGTATACAGTGTGACTATGTGGACAATGCCTAGTATATTCAAAGAGAACACGCAGACAAAGCCTAGTGCGTACAGTAAGCATACCTGGACAGTGCCTAGTGTATACAGTGTGACTATGTTGGATGAAGAGTGATTTCCAACCTGGGGTAGAGGATGGATCAGGATAAGGAAGAGTTCATCGTGCTAACTCCATTCGCACAATCAGTTGGAAACAATTATTTCTGAAATCTTCCATTGAACACTTGCAGACCGCAGATGACCATCAACTGAAGCCACACAGGGGAACCACTGCCGTTTCCCCAGGCACATCATAGCCCTTTGCCCGGATGCCCTCCCTTTGTTCAGGTGGGTCTCAGGCGCTGATGTTTCAGGAGTCTGTCTGGGGTCAGCCTGGTTCCAAGTCCAGGGCCGATGACCACACTGTGTACATACCAGATCAGCTGAGTCATCACGACAGTGCAAGTGTAGGCAGGGGCCTCGGGTGGGCGGGACGCACTCCTGCGGCTGCCCCGCCTCTCCCACAGGCTCTAAAGTGTCACTGTGTGTGGAGCTGCACAGCTCTGCTGTCAGAGAGGAGACCCAAGGGTGAGGACTTGGAGCCCGGTGGACAGAGGAAGCAGAAAAGGGAAAGCCGGGCATTTATGGCCTAGGAGGGCTTGGCAGCAGTGCTCTTGGGCTCTTCCTGCTCAAGTTAGGTAAGGAAGGCTGAGTGTCAAGTCACCTGGGAGGTGACCCTGGCTCAGTGTTCACTGTGCTTGCAGCTGCCTTGCTAGCCACATGCAAACTTCGTCTTACCTGCTTGCAGTGCTGCGCCACCACTGCTACAAACATTGTCACGGCACTTCTCTGTGCGCCTGTGGTTCTCAGCACTAGAGCTTGGGACAAGGACCAAGACTGTGTTGCCTTCTGGAAATGGGTTTATAATGGGTTGGGCCAGGGCCAGTGAGCTGCACACATCTGCCCAGCGGCTGGGGCAGCTCTGCCCTCCACCTGTCCCCTGCGCCCCTGCGCCCACAGTCCCAGCTTGTCCTCCCTTCAACGCCACAGATGCTGCAGCTTCTCCAGCTTCTCAAAGCACAGGATCTCCCAGGGTCTCTCTGGAAACGCAAGAAGCCTGTGTACGTTTTCTGAGTTCTTCAGAACCAGAGCTCATCTCCAGCCAATCCTGGCCTTGTTTTGTTTTAGGGGTGTGTGTGGAAATACTGGGATTTGAATTCAGGTCTCATGCTTGCCAGGCAGGCACTCTACCACTTGTACACTCCACCATCCCTCTTTTGTGCTGGGGATTTTGGAGATGGGATTTTGGAATTATTTCCTGATCTCTGCCTTGGGAGTAGCTGTGTTACAGACAGGAACCACTGGCGCCCAGCTTTCTGGCCTTCTTTAATGGAAGGAATGCTGGTCCCAGACGCCTGTCTGATCAGCTGTCACACTCAAGGAACCTGGGGACAGACACTGGTGGAGCCTGGGATTGAAAGTTGAAAGCCTGGCCCGTGGAGGCTGGTGGTAGAATGCATGCCAACACTACCATCCACATCTGTGTGTGGGGTGAGCAAGTCACTGAGACCTGAGCCATTCAGAGGGAGGCAGTTGAAGTTGAAGTCTGGGTCCCCAGGGTACGCTTCCAGAGATGGCTGCAGGGGTCCTAAGAAGTGCGCCGGTGCCTCTGACTGGTGAGGTTTGGGGTGCCGTCGCAGTTGAAATTTGGGGTGATGAGGTCTCTGGTCAGGTTGAGGTTGGGCATGGAGGGCTGCATAGTGCCTGTGCCTGGTGATAGATGAATGGGTGGGAAAGAAGGATCAGAGGTGGCTCCAGGTTGGAGGATGGAAGTGGGGTTCCCTGCCCCAAACAACCAGTTTCCACGTTAGATTCCCACTGGGCAGCAGGAGGCAGGTGACCCAAGCCTGGCTGAGTCTCTGCAGAAGCTCCGGCTCTCATGGACCAGTATCTCTGGATTGGCTCCTGTGGCCCAGTTCTCAGCTTAAAGGGCAGCTCTTGGTAGGAGCAGGCCTGGAGCCTCTGCAAACGCCCAGCCAGATGCTGAACATCTAACGTAGCAAACAGAGCGCACAGTGGTGTTTCCCAGCACAGTCTCCTCCTGCCTTGGGCCTCGGGCTGAGGATGGCATTCCTGAAAGTGCTGTGAGCTGCTTTCCTGGGGAGATGGGAGACAGGGAGCCAGCCCAGTGCTGGGCTGGTGTCTTCCTGGTACTGGTCAGAACAGACCAAGTTCTTTCTTCCCCTTCTGAGAAAAAAAGGCACTGAGTCAGACAAAGGGGATTAGAGCACAGCTGAGTTTACATGAAATGGAACAAGTCTGTAGCCATGCCAAGTGGGTTGGTTGTTCCCCAGGGAGGGTGGGGTGACGGAGGAGTGTGCACCTCTTTGTGGTGATGGAATGTCCTAAATTTGGCTTTGTTTTGGTTTGCACATACCTGTGAATACACTCAAGCCCACTTGGAGTGGGCAAATTATAATAACATAAATGCTATTGTATTGATAGTATGAATTAAATTTCAATAAAGCTGTTAAACATGCAGGTAGGTAAAATGTGTGGCCACAGTTGGCCACACTACCATATCCCCACCCCACCTAACTTAATTTCCCAGCCCTTCTGACCTCCTTCCTAGCCTTTGTCCACCATGAGGACAGCCCCCTCTCAAAGAGAGAGCAAGGGGCCAAGCCACACAAGCCAAGCCTCATACCCCATCCCTCTGCCTCCAAACTCAGAAGAGCCATTGGCTGTCCAGCAAGAGAGGCAAGAGGCATGGAGAGAAACCTGAACAGAGATACTAGAATGCCCAGAAGCACCAGGCCTCAGAAGTGCAGCCTCCAGCAGCCTCCCAGGCTGGGCAAGAGCTGACCACACTTGTGTGTTCCCACTGTGGTTACAATGTTCATAGCTTAGTGGGATATGGATGATTTTCTCTCTCTATTGTTTTCCAATTTTTCTGTTATATATATATAATTTATAACAGGACTATCCACCTAAATGACAAAGCAATCAGCCAGACATGGTGACACATGCCTATAGTCGCAGGTGCCAGGGAGGCTGAGACAGGAGGATTGATTGAGTCCAGGAATTCTAAACCAGCCTAGACAACATAGCCATTCCCTGTCTCAAACAATAAACAAACCAGAGATTTTCCAAAGAATACTGATATTTATTTAGAAGTAGCAGAGAACATGCCATAGTAAACCATGGTGTATTCAAAGAGACTGAGGAAAGGAGAGATTCTTAAAGGCAGAAATAAGGAGTGTGGACTGGGGGTGGCTCAGTGTGGAGTCTTCCCTTGCATGTAAAGCCCTGGGTTGTGTTCCCAGCACCAAAAGCAAATTCACTAACAAAGAAACATGACATCAGATGTTTTGACACAATAATCCTAGGACAACGGATTTATACGGAAAGAGGCCTCAGTCTGCAGTTGAAGGGACAGTGTCCATTCAGGTGTCTGTAGAAGCACTTTTGTAGAAGGTCCTGTGGCCTCTGGGCAGGCTTGTGGCTTTGGCAGTCTCATGGCAGTTATCATGAGTTGTGCAAAAGAACCCTTTTTTCATAAACTGGGCTTCAGGCTTTCTGTAGGTTTTCTGATCAGGCTGGCACAAGCAACTCCATTTTGATTCTGGCAACTTTCACATTTCTTTCACAGAACAAATATGAATGAAGCCAGGTATCGGGTGGGGAGGGATCTGGGAGTAGCCTGTAGGAAACACCAAGTCCTGGCTGGTGATCTCTTGTTGATAGCTTTTCCTTCTCGTTGCAGGAATCATGTTTCTGGAAATTCTCCTCGCCTCAGTGCTGGGCTTTCTCATCTACCGGTATATCTCCTGGAACAAGGAGGAAACTTTGGCACTTGAAGATGGGTGGTGGGGGCCCGGGGCAAAGCCCACAGCCAGGGAGGACGAGAGCATCCGCCCCTTCAAGGTGGAAACGTCAGATGAGGAGATCAAGGTAAGACCCCTTTTCCCAGGTGGGCTGCAGAGGCAGGTGGGTGCGTCCTGCTGTGGTCCCCAACCATGCTGGAGCTGGCTCAGGTGGAGGCAGGGGCTTAGGAAGAGAGCCTTCTTGGGTGCTTCCTCCTGTCTGCTCTTCTCCCACAGGGTGGGTGCAGCTCCCTCACCCCAACCCACCTGTACCTTCCCATTGCCAAAGCCCAGCAGTGCCCAGGAGGAGGGGGCTGCCAGCTGCACCCCTGTGTGCACCACAGGTCACAGAAAGCAACTGCGTCCACCCCTGCCTGTCCCCCGAGACAGAGAGCAGGTGCCCCTGGCGGCCCAGGTGTAGGCCCTGCATGCAGTGAGGTGGTGCCCTAGGAAATATGGTAGGGCCAGTGCTTTGTAGCACCTACTGTGCATTAGCTACTCCTGGGCCCATTCTTTCCCTGTCAGGGTTGTCTGGTGCTGCGAGCTCACAGAGTGGGAACTGAAGTGCAGAGAGGCACACCAGTTTGTCTGGAGGACAGGAGTCCAAGACTACAAGCCAAAGGGTTTGAGCTCAAGTCTAACTCAAAGGCCACTGCCCCTTCCTCCACACAGAGATGGAGACAGGAAGGAGGTGTCCAGTGGTGTGGGAGCATAGAGGAGGAGCCTCGTGGAGGAGAGAGGCTTGAACAGGGCTGGCGGGGGGAGAGGGGCGGCCTGACCTGGCACAGCCCTGCCCATTCTTCCTTTGCTCTGGGGTGCCTGTGCACCTCCTGGGTGCAGCAGTCTTCTGAGTCTTGAGAGAAGACAAGTCCCTTCCCTCAGAGAGCTACCATGCTGAGGTGAGGAAGGGTCACGCACGAAGGCAATTAACCCAGAGATCAGAAGAGCGAGTGGTAAAGGATCACAAGAGTTGAGAGGAGGAAGGGATTTCAAAATAGAAGCTGGCCTAAGCCCAAGAGACAGCAGGCTGAGGCCCCCGTGTGAGGACTTCTAGGGCTTCGGTATTGACGGTGGAAGCTGAGCTCTGAGGGTTATTCCTGTAGAGGATTCTACAGGACTCTAAAAAAGTCTAAGATTTCCCAAATGTGCTTGGGGTTGGCCAAAGCACTCGGGACGAATGTCTGGGAAAGGGGACATGGGCCACTCAGTGAGCGAACGTGAACTTCCCCAACTGAGGCCCCATGAAACCCTGAGTTCAAACTCTAGTGCTGCAGAGAGAGAGAGAGAGAGAGAGAGGTTCTGCAGTGAAGAACAGGCACAACCTGGGCACAGTCACAAGGTTTGTTTGGCTGCCATGGTGAAGGTGTGCAGCACCTTATCCTGCAGGCCGCGCTCTCCATTGTGGAAACAAGCTCTCTCTTGGGCTCTGGTCACCCGTCCCTCTCCTCACTCCAGGACCTACACCAGAGGATCGATAACTTCCGCTGGACCGCACCTCTGGAGGACAGTCGCTTCCATTACGGGTTCAACTCCAACTACCTGAAGAAAGTCCTGTCCTACTGGCGGAATGAGTTTGACTGGAGGAAGCAGGTGGAGATTCTCAACAAGTACCCTCACTTCAAGACAAAGATCGAAGGTAAGCTTCCAGAACACCTGGGGCTGTGAGTCCCAGGAGCAGACACCTCTGTGGGAACCTTGACCCAATGGCAGGTCACCTGATGTAATCAGCTTTCATCTTGCCAGAATGCAAAAATAATGCCACATGTCAACAACCATGGGTGTATAGAACTAGACAGGAAGTACATTAATAATTTTAAGGCCTGAGAAATGCAGAATCCAGTCCAATGAGGAAGCTGCCGTGGGGGAGGCTAAGGAGGAAGACGAGGGCATGGATGCCTGGTCACCTCTGCCCCTTCTTGAAGGCGTGGGCTGCAGGATGTCCAGCTCTGCTGGACAAGGCTGTGCTCACCTGTCCAGTCTCCGCAGCACTGGACTACATGTACAGCCATACCACAGGTCAGCACACGGCCTCACCAGGAAGAGAAGGTGTCTCATATTTTGCTTGGGAAGATGTCGCCAGGATCATTTGAGATGAGTTCCTAATTTCCTTAATGAAAATCATTATTAACCACAGACAGACTTAAGACCAAATAGGGAAATGCTTAAGAAAAACCAGAGCTCTGCTGTTAATTTTGTTTGGTTGGCTTTGGCAGTACTGGGGTTTGAACTCAGGACTTTCTGCTTGCTAGGCAGGTGCTCTACCACTTGAGCTACACTTCCAGCCCTTATTGATCGTGTGTTTTTGGTGCTACGGCCTCGTTTTTCTCCCAGGCTGGCCTGGACCAGAGTCCTTTTTTAAGCTTCCTACTGAAGCAAGGATGACAGGTTGTGCCACCACAGCCCTCTTTTTTCTGCTGAGAAGGGATCTTACAAACTCCTGCCTGAGCCCCTGAGTGTTGGGAGTGTAGAGTTGCACCACCATTCCTGGTTGATTCCCCCATTGGTAACCACCCTAACGTGTACACAGTGGCATCTCACGGTGTTCTCTGTTTTGTTTCCTTTTGTTCATGGTGCTTGGACTTTCCTTTCCCTCACGATGAGTGACGTTGAACATCTGTTCATGTACATATTGGCCATTTTTAGATATTTGCACAACTGTCTATTCAAGACCTTGGTCTTCTCTTTTATTTGAGACAGCACCTCCCTATGTTTCCCAGGCTGGCCCAAACTCCTGGGCTCAAGCAATCCCTCGGCCTCAGCCACCACCACCACCACCATCATTGGCACTGACCATGAGTGCTGCTGGGCCTTTCCTGTGTCTTCTGCGGTCACACACAGGTGGTCATACATAATGTACAACGGGCACCACTTAGCACCCTGGGCTTCCTGGAGTTTCACTTGGACCCTCTTTCCCCAGCTCCAAGGGTCCATCCAGCAGATAGCAAGCAACAGGGCACTCCCTGACCCCAGGTGTTGCACTGGAGTGGGGGTACAGTAAGAGAGGTGGGTTCCTGCTGTCAGGTCCAAAATTCCTAGGCAGTTACAACACAGGTGGAGGGCCTGCTATGGAGAGGGGGTCACAGCAGCTTTGGAATCCTGCATTCCTCCTTGAAGTGTGAGGAGGACGTCCTGCAGGGGGTGCTGCTGAGTTTCCTAGGCTTGTGGGACAGGTGGCCCAAGGAGGAGGGAACAGGACAGCCAAGCACCCACAAAGGGCTGCTTCCCTTCCGGGGCTGCAAGCTTGGGGCCAAAGCCTCACTCCACTGACCCCTCTGGACTTCAGAGGTCCCTGAGTGTTTACGGCACAGGCCTCTCAAGGTGCAAGTGGCCCAAAGAGGACAGCTTCACCCTGGCAGCCTGTCTGGGCTTTGTAGGACAGTCTTTTCCCTGGCCTGGGTTCATGGTTCTCTGCCCTGCCACCAAATACCAGCCAGCAGCCTCCAGCCTCAGAAAGCATTCTGCTTTGCTGGACCTCCAGGCTGGGGTTGGTCCAAGAGGGCTCCTCCCTCACTGTTTCCTGCCACCCTCCTCCCTCATGCAAGCCTTTTTAGAGCCCCTTCTGTCCCCTCTCTGCTCCCATGCCCCTGGCTTCTCACAACGTCTGATCCATACCCAGTGTATTGTCCACTTGTCCATTGGCCTCCCTGCTACTGCTACCTCCCTGCTCAATCTGGTGAGCCTCCAGGCCCACCATGTCCTGGGCCTCCAGGGCAGGAGTCCTGTTTCCATTGCACCAACTCTCAGGGCTTCAGAGGCCGCTGGGCAAGTCCAACCCCACCCTGTCCACAGTGGGGGAGATTGCCCGTCCCTTTCCCTTCCCTCCAGCCGCTGCCTGTGACACCCCCACATCCTCCCCTCACTACCCACCGCCCAGCTACATGAGCACAGCTCAGCTGCATTCTGACCCAGTGCCCTGCCATAGAGCATCCTGAGGGTGTTACACACCTGTGGGAAACCCAGGGTGGCATTTGCTTCACCAAAGCCCACAGGGTCAGCCACGCAGTGTAGCTTGAACAAACCCCTTGGGCTGGCGTGTGGCTCAGTGCAGAGCGTGTGCTTAGCACAGGGTCCATGCTCAGCAGCAGTGTTAATGAGAAGATGTCTTCATGCTACAGTGCAAATATTTAGAATGTAAAGGAACAGAAGGGCACACAGAGGAAAGGAAGTGTCCACTCTCCAGGCCTCCCGGCCCAGACAGCATTGGCTTCCTTCTGCAGAATTCCAGAGAGCCTGTGTGGATGCAAGCCGGGATGTGGATTTCTTCTTAAACTGACGAATTGGTAGAATATGACTTAAAAATAATGTCCCATCATGCAGCATGTTCCAAAAAAAGATAAGACTACCTACTAAAATAGACTTTAGGATAGGAGTAAATTTAGCAACATAGAAGGACACCATGGGTATCTTCTTAAGTGAAAGAAAAGTAAGGTTCCAAAATAGAACAGCTATAGTGTTCTGTTTTTGTTAAAAGGAAGTTATGTTCTCTAAGTATTTTTTAAAAGCAGAATAGTCACAGCTAAGAGGAGCCTAAGAAGGTGTGATGACTATATGTTCCATGGTGTCCTGTACAGGGTCCGTGAACAGAAAAAAGACCTTAGGTTAAAACCAGGAAATCTGAATAAGACTCCATTACATGTGGACATGCCATATTACCCAGGCCTCAGGGAGGAAGAAACCCCTACACAATGTGACATCGCCAATAAGCCTTGAGGACATTATGCTAAGCAACATGACCAGTCTGAGGACAGTACCTCATGATTCATGTCTGAGAGGTACCTAATGAGGCAGGTCACAGAAGCAGAGTGAGGGCGGGGTGCCAGGCCTGGGGCGTAGCGGGTCAGGTGTGGGGTTCCACTGATGCTCTAGACCCACTGTGCTGACAGAGCCCATGGTTACCAGTACTGCAGGGCAGACTGGGGCTCAGCGCACACCACCCCCAGCACCACAAAAGAAACAAACAATATTTTCATGACTCAGTAATTTTGAAAATTTTAAAAGTTTATTTTTATAATGGGATAATGATACATTCTTACTTCAATGTATTTGTGTGTGTAAAAACTGTTATGCACTTAATGTATGTCCATTGTAGAACAGTTAGGAAGCACAGGAAGCATTTGATTGTCCTGCTCAGGGACAGTTACCTTGTGCACTTGGGAGTTCATTCTGAGACCTTTATATTCATGCACGCACAGTACCGCCAGTCCCCGACTTACGATGGTTCAGTTGAAGACTTTGCTCCTTTATGATGGCGGGAAGCGATAGGCACTCTGTAGAAACCACACTTTGGATCTGGACCTTTTCCGAGACTGGTGATAAGTGGTACAGTTGCTACTCCCAGACAGCCCCACAATCGAGAGGGAGAACCCCACACTCTGCGGTGTACCATGGTGGCTAAGCTATGCCATTTGATAGGGTGGGTGGATTACGTGCAAAGTTTTTTGAGGTGCTGAGCATTGAAACCAGGGCCTCATGCATGCTAGGCAAGCTCTCTGCACCCAAGCTACACCCTGTCTTTAAATGCGTTTTAGATTTCCAAACTTTCTACTTAAGATGGGTTCCATGGATCTGACTTAGAACTTGCTTTTATCACCTGGCCTTGCTGGTTTATGTTAAGTGAATACACGTGTGCACGCTCGCTTTCCTGGACTAAATGTACTCCACTACACCGCAGACAGTAATCCCTTTGATTAACCCTCTGTTGTGGGTATATGTGCTTCCCCTTCCCCCCTGCTTTTCAATTAGCGAACAAGTGTTTATGGAGCTGCTGTAGCCAGGCTCTGTCCTATGCCCTGGGGACCCAGGAGTGCACACTCAGACCTGAAGTGCATGTTCTAATGTCACTAGGAGGTGACAGCAGTATCATCATTGCAGCGTGGCTGTACAGTCTGAACAAGGACATCACAGAGCTGGAGCATGCTGGCTGTGATGACCGCCACCAGTGCCTGAGGACACCAAGGGCACAGTACCCACTGTCCACCAGAGAGGGTGCATAGGGTGACCAGATGCACTCAGGACGCCAGCCTCTCCAGCCACAAGGCCTGTCCCTCCCCCTGACTGTGCTCTGTCCCCAGGTCTGGACATCCACTTCATCCATGTGAAGCCCCCCCAGCTGCCCTCAGGCCGCACCCCTAAGCCTTTGCTGATGGTGCACGGCTGGCCCGGGTCCTTCTACGAGTTTTACAAGATCATCCCACTGCTGACTGACCCCAAGAGCCACGGCCTGAGCGATGAGCACATTTTCGAAGTCATCTGCCCCTCCATTCCTGGCTACAGCTTCTCACAGGCATCCAGCAAGAAAGGTATAGGGCCGGGGGGAGTGTGTATTCACCTGGTCCATGCTCAGAGTGGTCCAGAAGGTCCATCAGGCTCCCCTTGGGGGATGTGAACCGCTTGGGATGATGAGGAGAAGCCGAGAGGCAACTCGTACAATAAAAGATCAGTGCACCAGTGATGCTGGGTGAGGGCTGGACAGATCTATGGCAGCACTGTCTAGGGTGCTCAGGGCCTGGACTCACAAAAAGGGGAAGCTCTACATCTGGGCTGACCACACTCCTGTGCAGCAGGGCCCTAGACACCCCAACACCACAGGGTCTTGCTGAGTCCCCCCCATGCCCATCCTGGTCAGCAGAGCAGCAGCTGGTCACCTGCACCAGCTGCTGGCACTGCACCAAGCCCTCTGTAGATGGAGAACCTTACTCATGGCCTCAAGACTCCTTCTCACCTCCTGTGAGCTGCTGTCCCCTAGCCTGGTGGAGGAGGGGTCTGGAGAGCTTCTCCACAACAAGAGGAGCCAAGTGTCCTCCCTGTGACTCTATTGTCTGTTGCCTTCACAACCAGGCTTCAATTCGGTGGCCACCGCCAGGATCTTCTACAAACTGATGCTGCGCTTGGGCTTCCAAAAATTCTACCTCCAAGGTGGGGACTGGGGGTCCCTGATCTGCACCAACATGGCCCAGCTGGTGCCTGGGTAAGTCTCGTCTGGGCGTGTGGTCATGCACCCACCTTCTAAGAGGATCTTTCTGCAAGTGGCATCTACACAGGTTGTTCATGACAGGCCCTCCTGGGCACAGCACCCAAGCGTTGGGGCTCCCTTTTGCCAGCATCACCCAGGCAGGATTGCTTGTAGCAGGGGAGAGGAAGGAGGGTTACACAGGGCACCTTGACCCAGATTCTCCCCCTGTGGTAACTCAGGATTGGTAGGTCTGGGCCAGGTGCCCAGGCAGAGCCCTCTGGTGAGAAGTGAAGGTTAGGATTAGACCTTTCCAGCAGGCAAGCTGTGGAGTTGCCCTGAGCAGAACTCTCTGGAAACTGCATTTTCTTCCCCGATCCCTCTCCTCCTCATATGGACACCAAAAAAGGACAGGTCCTCCTTGGCCCTATGGCCTGGCTCTCCTCCTCTGTCTCTCTTGTCCCCTTTCCTTGGTATCAGCCCAGCTCCTGAGCCCATTTCTCTGTCCTCAGCCACGTGAAAGGCCTTCACTTGAACATGGCTTTGGTTTTAAGAAATATCCACACCTTGACTCTTCTCCTGGGTCGGCGTTTTGGGGGTTTTTTTGGCTACACAGAAAGGGACATGGAGCTGTTGTACCCCTTCAAGGAGAAGATATTCTACAGCCTCATGAGGGAGAGTGGCTATTTACACATCCAGGCCACCAAGCCAGATACTGTGGGTGAGTACAATGGCATGGGGACCCCAGGGGTAACCCCACTGCCCCCAAGAGCTCCGTTCATAGTATGCAAACCCCTCTTGAGTTGCTCAAAGTTCTTTGGATCCTTAAACTGCATTTCCCTGTAGAAGTAAGTTGACACATGGTCATCACATCCCAGCCTGATCCAAACAGCTCTGTTTAGTGGATTCAGTGTTCACAATGGCTTTGATCCCTGACCCCAAACCCTGAGCCTAAACTGGGGAGAGGAAGTGTGGGAGGAAGCCTGGGGGTTTGGCAGCTCCGGGACTCTGGGGAAAGGGCAGAGGGCACCCCAGGGCATGGAGGAAGCTCCCCTAACAACCAGAGGAGAGCCTGTAACCATTTCTGCCACCAGGGTCCTATGGAAGGATGATTTTCCAAAAGCTAAAAATCATGATTCTCATACAAATAGGAAAAGAGCACGTCCCCTGGTTATTTAACTCATTCATACAAAAGAAGCCCATAAAACGTCAAAGCAAACGATGGTTCAAAGGCAGTGAGGAGTGCAAGTTAGTCTCCTAATGGATGCAAATCCATCAAGACCCACAGAGCAATAATTAAATGTCCACTGGACAAAACTGGTTTGCCTCTCTGTGCTCGGGAATCATTTGTATGGCTCTCAGGGTTCTGTAACTTACAGGGCTGTACACGGGCTCAGGGACAAGGGGAGGGGCACCCTAAAGGACAGAGACCCCCGGAGGACATCAGGCATCATTTTGCCATTTCCAAGCCTTTCACAGCATCCCAGAATGTCATGTGCACCCGGGAAGCAGTCACGACATGACAGCACTTCATAAACCAGGCTTTCCTCTGGCTGTGAGGCCAGTGTTCATTGTAGAAAGCACCGAGCAATGCAAAATGCACACAGAGGAGGAAGCCTGTAAGTCCTCCTTCCTCCAGCTGCCCTCACCTTCACAAGAGTTCACTAAGGTGGAAAGTGCCATGTGTGCAGCAGGGCCCCTCCCCCCAGGCACACCGGGGGTCACATGCAGGCTCTGTCACATCACAGGTGACCACCCTCAGTGCGAGATGCTCTCTGTTTCCCAGTTCCTGTGACTGTAACCTTGCAGTGTGTGCTCTCTGGGCTCTGGTGACTTTCACTCAATACCATTGTCATCTATGCTGATGTCCCAAACACTATTTTTAGTGCTGGGCATGGAACCCAGGGCCTTGTGTATGTGTGCAAAGCCTGAATCCACCACTGAGTAAACCTCCAGCCTCCAGGCATTTTCTGGATGCACAGTATTTTAGCTGTGGACATGTCACTATTTGCAACTGTTAACCCTATTTTGGACTTCTAGGTGGTTTATCATTTTACAATGTTAGGACATATAGGCCAAAAAACCCATTTTATAATAAAAAACAAAACAGCATTCTGGGCTGGGGGGGTGACTCAGTCATACAGCACCTGGAGGCTGGGGACTTAGCTCAAGGGGTAGAGCATTTGCCAAGCACCTGTGAAGCACTGGGTTCTAGCCCCAGCACCACAAAAAGAAAAAAAAAATGTGTCTGTGTCTGTGTGTGTATGTCTGTCTGTGTCTGCATGTATTAATTTTTCTCACTTGGACTTCACTACTCCCAGGTTCAGAGCACCCCCCTCCCTATTGACAGAAAGTGCTCCATACACTATGTGAATCCTGTGAGGTCGTGGAAGGAATTATCCCAATCCACAGTGAGGCTGCTGAGGCCGCGAGAACAGAGTGGGGTGCAGGGCAGGGCTGTGATGGAGCCTGGGCTCCCTGCCCCTGGCACCTCTCTGCGGTGTCAGCACCACACCTTGGTCCTTAGGGCCCCTGCCTGTACCAGACATGAGTCCCTTCCTTGCTCTTTTCCACAGGCTGTGCTCTGAACGACTCTCCCGTGGGCCTGGCTGCCTATATCCTGGAGAAATTCTCTACCTGGACCAACTCAGAATTCCGAAACCTAGAGGATGGAGGCCTGGAGAGGTGAGGTCCCCACCTGTCTGCTGTGAGGATGCACCTGCCTCACCCTCGCCACCATTTCACCTGAGTCTCCACTAGCTTTGTGTGGAACCAAAAAGCTCCCTCTGTCCTTGACTTGACCAAAGTCCTATCCTGTGGCCAACAGAGCCCTGTTTGGGGGCTGTGAAAGTGGACGAATGGACACAGGTTTAGTGACCTGCTCCAAGGGTCACAGTGGAGTGCAAGGATAGGACACACAACTCAACAGCCCCTCCTGGGGCTAGGGAGCCCATGGAACAGGAAGCACCCCTTTTTTCAGAACAGTCAGGGTCAAACCTCCTGGGCCACAAATGGCCTGAATCAGAAGGTGCTACAGCCTCTGCAGTGCCTGACACCCCATCCGCTGGCCCTGCTCAGGCTTCATGCTGACTTTAGCGGACTTTTGAAAAGTACATGTGGTAATTGAGCTCTAGAGACGATATGAACGGAGGACTGATTTGTCTGAGGCACACAGAAGGGAAGAGGCAGGGAGAATACATTGAGCTTAGCCTAGAAGGAGGAGTAGAACCTTGCTGGCCGGAGGAAGGGATGTTAAACAAGGAGAAAAGTAGTAAAAATGAGAGGTGTGTTGGAAAGGGTGACTTGTCCAGAGGCGGGAGCAGGTGCATGGGCTAAGACTGCAAGCTCATTCCTCTGGGCAGGCCCCCCAAGAGCCTCAGTAAACCCTCACCTGGGATCCATTTCCGCAGCCTTCACTCGGCGGGACCCCAGGGTGAGTGAGGCTTTACAAGGGTCCTCTGGCAAGGAGCCTAGCCTCTCCTTACACACAAATACCTGCAGCCAGGTGTGAGGACCACAGATGCCCCACAGGTGGCTCCTGCAGGGTCAGCCAGGCACAGGGAGCACATTCTGAGCAGGGGACAGACTGGTACTGCTGCAGGCCATCCCTGTGGTAGTATTGAAGCTGGAGTCACAGCCAAGGGCAAAAGATCAAGGCATTTGCATGCTTCATTACCTGGTGGTCAGTGACAAGTTTTCCTTTTGTTATCATTAACATTTTTAAAAAGGATATTCACTTTGCCTCTGTCGCTGCAGAATTTCACAGGATAAAGAAAAAGTCCTTTTTCCTATTCCATCTGAACACCTTCCTCGATAGCCTCCTTTGCCCTCAGCCTCCTGGCTTTCTCCTTCTACCTCCAGCTGCAGGCAAAACAGAGAGGAACTGAACATTTTTACAAATGTAGTTCAGAGGATAGAAAATGTCATTGACTGGGGCCTGGGATGCAGCTCAGTGGCAAAGTGCTTCCTTAGTAAGAGAGAAGCTCTGAGTTCCATCTCCAGCAACCCTGGCTCCTGGGGACAGGATCTGTGTCGTGTCCTCCTTTCCTTCCCAGACCTCGACAGGCCCTGGTCCCCAAGGCAGTGAGGCCTGGGTCCTCCCTGCTGCCCTGGCTAAGCTAACCTTTGCCTGCACGCTTTCCCACATCTTGCTCTCCTTTCAAGACCCACTGCAAAGCTCTCCTCCTCTGAGGAGCCTGCCTACTTTCCCTTCACCCAGCAAACTGGTCCTTGGGTCCCTATTTCCCTCATGGGACATCCTAGCCTGTCATCCTCCCCATCAGGCCATCATCTCCTTCCTCCAGGCAGTCACCCAGCCTGCTGCACCTTTTGAACCTCAGTGCCTGGCACACAGCTGGTGTTCAGTAAATGTGTTGTCAGTGAGTGAATGGCACTGTACTAACCTTCAGCCCTGGTAAACTTGGGGCTCAAGCTTTCTGGCTGAATGGCTGTCAGGTCAGTAGACTGGGCCTGTGTCATGGTTGCTCTTTGATGCCTCCACGTTTTCAAGTATCATTAGTCCTACTTTACCAGAGGGCTGATGAGGGCGCAGGCAGGGTGAACAACTGCCAGAGTCCCAGGCTTCTTAGTCATGAGTCTGAGACCAGAACCTGGGTCCCTGGACTCCTGGCCCTCTCCTCTCTTGGCCTTCAGCAAGCTTGGGTTCTGGCTCCTGGGCAACACCCAGAGGACTGGCCGCTTCCTGCCTCTGGGTACTCCGAGTCCCTCAGGACCCTGAGGAGGGAATTCATTACCCTGGAAGCCTGGACCTGGGTGCCCTTGGAAGGCAGGGTGGGCAGAGCTCACCATGGGAGAGAAGGAAGGATGGGGACAGGGAGCCACCCTGGCTCTGTAGAGTGTGCATGGACTGAACTGAAGCACGGGCCTGGGGCGCCACCTGGCGGTACGATGGAGGTGATGCCGCAACCTACAGGCAGTGGATTATTGAGAATTGGTGAATTAAACACTGGTAGCTTGGACTCAGCAGCTGTGCACATGGTCAGCAGCCTCCACATGGTAACTGGTGACCTGAGCCCAGCCTGCCTGTGCAGGGGACACCACTGCCTTGCAGTGAGAGATGAGGAGAGAGGCCAGGTGAGCAGGGTCTTGCTGATGCTCGCCCTTGCTTCTTACACACCTGCACCTGGCACTGAGAGCGGGCTTCCTGTTCTGCTTTCCCAGGAAGTTCTCCCTGGACGACCTGCTGACCAATGTCATGCTCTACTGGACCACAGGGTCCATCGTCTCCTCCCAGCGCTACTACAAGGAGAACATGGGGCAAGGCCCCATGGCCAATAAGCATGAGCGGTGAGTGTGGCTGAGCTGAGAATGGCCTCTGAGGACAGGGGCCTGGATTGCCCTTAGGGAGGGTATGATGGCAAGGAAAGACTGCCCGGGATACAGGGCCTGGCCCCCAGATGTCCTTCAAGGTCTCCCCGGACCCAGGATGCAGGCCTGGTGTGGCACTGATGCTTTGGGATTTCCAAGTACTATATGGAGATTCTCAGGTCGTAGCCAAGTGACAGGACAGAGTGAGGCTGTCTCGTGCCCTTGGGGCAGAAAAGAGGGTCCTTAGAGAGCGGCACTGAGGGCTGGGGTGGGAGTACAGTTGGAACCCTGAGCCCAATCTTTTCTTCATGGCTCCACACGGGCCAGCTAAGCCCTCCCTACCAGCCTGGGGACCCTGCTGTGGGTACAGAGAGCCCCAGGGCTAAAGCCTCACCCCCAGGGGGTGCCTCTTCCTTCCAGGATGAAGGTCTTTGTACCCACTGGCTTTGCTGCCTTCCCTTCGGAGATACTTCACACCCCCGAAAAGTGGGTGAGGGTCAAGTACCCCAGCCTCATCTCCTACTCCTACATGGCCGAAGGGGGCCACTTTGCCGCCTTTGAGGAGCCCAAGCTGCTTGCCCAGGACATCCGCAAGTTCGTGACGATGGTGGAGCAACAGTGACACCTACAGGGATGACCAGGGTCTCTAGGCAACCCTGGACTTGGGGAAGATGCCCCTTTTCTAAGGAATGAGTTTTCTTCTGTCCCCTGGTGTGACCTCACACAACCCCCAATATGCAGCACCCCCAATATGCACCCGTGTTTAGCAGTGTGGCTTTGGTGATAAATGATTTTACTTCTAAGAGCTCCTGGAAGCAAATGACGTGCGAGAGGGCTGAGGTCACCTGTGGGGGGTCCCTCAGAGAGCACTGAGGGTGGCACTGGTCCTGGGAGGGCACTGCGGCCTTCTGTGGCCCTGCTTGCAGACATGAGTGGGGGTGCTGGGATGAGGCCACTGGCCCAGACCACCAGTTCCCAAAGGACTGGTGGCATCGCTAACCCCTCCAGAGCACAGGCCACTTGGAGCAGAGGCAACTGGGCCAGGTGTGGAAAGGTGCCAAGCCCAGGCCGGACAGGCCTGCAGGCAAATGGGCTCTGCATAGTGCTGACAGGCCATGGCCCTGTCCCTGTGGCATCTCTGCCCCTCACTCCTCTCCTCTGCGCCTGCTTCACAGTCCTCCTGCCTTCCAGGACAGCTTTGGTCATTGCCCTCCCACCTTGAAAGAAGCCAACACAGGGAGAGGACTGGATGGAGCCTGCAGGGAGGTGGAACCCCACACACACACCCTCCCACAGAGACAGAGAGGCCTATCTCACCAGTCATTTTATTAATGGTCCTCATTGTCCCTGACTGCTGCAAGTTGACTGTGACCCAGCCACAGAATTCCTGGCAACAGGACACAAAAAGGCACAACACGGTGAGATGTGGCGGTCTGTGCACAGCGGGCAGGGGTCTGCTGCAGCCAGCACGGGCAGATCCCTTCTCGGCCAGCTCTCCAGAGCCATGTGGAGGAGCAGCGAGCTGGGGCCCTGGGGTCACAGGACACCCATCTAGGCTCCATCTCAGACCAACTGCTGCAGGGGTTTGGTCATTGGTTTACTGTCAGCCTGCAGAGGGGTGGGCAGTGTGTGGTGCTCAGAGGGATGAGGAGGTCTACCCTTGATACAATTCTCCCTGTCATCCAACATAATCAGCCTGCTGGGCAAAATTCCAACGTGATCTTGGCTACAAACCACTGGGGACAGGTCCCAGCACAGAGCTGCAGGCTTGTGGGGTGAGAGCGTAGCAGGCAGAAACAAATGTGAAGAAATGAGGGCAAGGAGAGCTGCAGATGTTCCAGCAACTTCTGCTGAGACCAGAGAAAACGAGGCCCTCCGATGTTTCTAAGCTGGAAGTCCCAGTCCTACCCCCTCAGCCAAGGGCCTGGACCCCAGGCCCTCCTGGCTCCATCTTTACAGAGCAGTGGGGCTTAAAACAGCTGGGAAGACCTGAGGGCCGGGAGCATGAAGCTCCAGGCCTTCAGTTCAAGCCCCAGGAACTTCAGTTGTGAATTGGCTGAGGTTTCAAGTCCCTTATCCACCTGAGTCTTCAGGGCTTCCCTGAGCCCAGCAGAGACCTGCAGCTTGTCCACCCTCACGCCTCCTGGTACGCAGAAGCCACGCTGTCCTCAGGGCTCGGAGCCAAGTGCTGCCCAGAGATAGTCCCACTGATGTTGCGGATGGCGCCATAGGTCTGCTGCTGCTGCGGGGACAGGGCTGTCCTCTCCGAGGTCAAACCATTCAGAATCCGGGGCACGTAGGGCTGCCAGCGACCACGAGAGTTAGTGCTTGGGTGGTGGAAGGCATGAGACTCATCCATTCGTCCCCTACCGCCCCTCCTCCTTCCACCAGGAGGACACATAAAGAAATGACGTCATCTTAGGACGTTAGAACCCAAAATGTGCCAGGTGCTGGACTTCTCAGCAGCCAGGGCAAAACAGAGGCCACCACCCAGATCACGCAGGAGGAAGACAATAAAGACGTTCCTCCATTTCTCAGAGGAAATGGAACTTCCTAGCACTGGGATCTGGGAGAAGCCTGGCTCTATATGGGGAACGAGGCTACCTGCAGGGGCGGTCTGTGCGGTCTGTGTCGTCTGTGCCTCCACAGTCCCAGGCTGCAGCTGTCTCCCCGGGCACAGAGCTCTCCCCATCTCCCAGCCCAGACTGGGAAGGAGGTCCTAAGGCACCCTCCTGCCCTGTTTCCCTGCTGTCTCTGGGTGATTATGCTCTCAGAACATTCTGAGGCTTGTCCAAGGACAGACACTGAAGAGAGTACCTGGACTCTGGGTTCCTGCTTCCCATGGCTACAAGGAAAGCACTGATGAGATGAACCACTGTCATAAACTCACGTTTCCTGGTTGGCCAGCAGTTACACTGTAGCACCTTGTGACTCTGGGATCCACCCCCACCTAGGGCAGGACCCTGGAGGCTGGAGGCTGGAGGCTGGGAGAACCAGGAAGGGAAAGGCCCTCTTGTTTTTCCAACATACTGGCCCCCTCTTAAGCAGTTGCATTGTTCATTTGCTGAACTTAAAGGAAGTGACACCTCCTGGTACCTGGCAGAGGACCTCACACAGATAGGTGAATGGCCAGTGACAAGTTTCATCTGGAAATAGGGTCTCGCAGTGCCTGTGCTGCAATGAAACCCCAAACTCAGAGGAATTAGGGGTGCAGAGAGTGCCGGGGATTGGACTAACCATCCACATGGACTAGGCAGGCCTTCTCCACTGACATTAATTCAGAAACTTCCCTTCCACCTGGCCTGGGAACCTCTGTTTGGCAAGAGATGACCAAGCACACTGGCCAGAGCCTCTCTGATGGGACCTTTACAATGAGGGAAAAGGGCAGCATGCGGGGGTAAGACATACAGATCGCTTACTGTGAACGGAGGAGGCATCCAGGAGAAGATAGGATCTGTTTCCTCCACCTAAGACTCTAAAACAATTGGAGGTCTTTTTTGGGGGTGACAGGATACTGTATAATTTGGATTCCCGGGACATCCTCACCAAGCCAGGCCCTTACATCAGATCCTTAAGGTAGCGCAAAAGGATCCCCAGCCTTTTATTAAATGGGATGACAAATCAAAAAGAGCATTCCACCAGTTAAAAAAAAGGCCCATGACAGCTCAAGCCCTGGGTCTCCCAGTACAGGACCAGTTTCAATTATATGTCTGTGAAAAGGAAGGAGTGGCCTTGGGAGTGTGTTACTTAAGAATTAGATCAGGTAGCCAAGGGATGGCCAGAATGTCTTTGAGGAGTCACTGCAGTTAGCCTACTAGTGCCTAAAGCTGAAACACTTGTCCTAAACTGCCCCTAGCAGCTTATACCCCACATGACCTATGGAGAATTTTAAACTCAAAAGGAAGACTTTGGGTGTCCGACACCTGTGTACTTAAATACCAGGCCCTGCTGCTGGGAGGGATGGAAATCACTTTAAGGAACCTGTCAGAGCCTAAACCCTGCATCCCTTCTACCAGAGACAGGGGCAATTCTGAACACCTGTGTGAGGAGGTACTGATGGAAAATTATGTTGCCCAACCTGACTTGATTGATCAGCCCTTAAAAAACAGAAATCTGATTATATACTGAAGGCAGATCCTTTGTCAAAAGTGGTGTCAGACATGCAGTATCTGCAGTTGTAACAGAATGTAGCATCCTCAAATCAGGTCCTCTTCCTCCTAATACAAGTGCTCAGTTGGCAGAATTAATGGCCCTAACGGAAGCCCTAAAAATGTCAAAAGAACAGACAGTCAACATCTATAAAGACTCTAAGTAGGCTTTCTGATCCTGCATGCTCATGCAGTCATCTGGAAGGAAAGGGGAATGCTAACTACAACAGGATCTCCCATTAGACATGCTCATGACATACTAGCCCTCCTAGATGCTGTTCTGTTGCTTAAAGAGGTCTTGGTGATTCCTTGTAGAGGTCACCAAAAAGGGGAAGATAAGATAGCAAAGGGAAACAAAGCTGCTGATGAGGCAGTTAAGAGGGCAGCAGGAATATACAGCTGGCCCTCTCCTCTGGGAGGGGTCTCTCCCTCCTCCAGAGAGACCGCAATATTGATCAGAGGAAAGTAAACAAGCCTCAGACCAAGGGTACCAGTTAGATTACCAGGGCTGGTGGGAGTCCCCTAAAGGGAAGCTATGACTACCTAAGGCACTCCAGTGGAAAATTCTTATGACCCTCCACCAACTTTATAATTTGGGCTTAGACAATACTTTGGTTTCAGTCAACAAAATGTTTGGGGACTAAATTAAGGGAAACACCCAACAAGTGTACAGGGATGTGGAACGTGCCACCCCCCCAAAAAAAATCCCAATAATAAAAGACTCCAGATGCCAGCGGACCAGAGACAGGGGTCCTACCCCAGGGAAGACTGGCAATTAGACTTTACCCATATGCTAGGGGGACCAGATCAAAACTGTTAGTATTGGCAGACACATTAACTGGATGGGTAGAGGCCATTCCTTTCAGTACAGAACATGCTAGGGGGGTGGTCCAAGTTCTGATCACAGAAATAATCCCTCACTTCAGTCTCCCCAAAAGCTTAAAAAGTGATAATGGGCCTACATTTAAGGCAGAAGTAAATCAGGGACTCTCTCGGGCACTAGGCAAAAAATACCATCTCCACTGTGCCTGGCATCTATGAGAGTCTGCAAGACATGGTTCCTACCCTTTCTGAGGCCTATAGTTGCCATTATTCTCTTACTTGTGTTTGGGTCTTCCATTTTCAACTTGTCAAGTTTGTTGCCTGTCGCTTAGAATCCATCAAACTATAGATCCCCTGATGGAAATGAAAATGACCTACTATCACAGTCCCCTCGATAATCCCTCTGTGGTCAGCCTTGACACCCCTTCATCGCACCCTTTCACCAGGAAGCAGTCACCAAATAGACTTCGTCATCCCTGTTCCTAACAGCAGTTAGGGCAACCGTTGAGAGGGGGCACTTGAAGGGCAGACGGCAGGAGGTCCATGTATTCCTAAAAGGTGTCAATTATCCAGGGGGGAAAAAAACGCCCCTTCTCCTTCCCAAGAAACATGTTTCCGCCAGAAAGGCACCAAAATCTCTACCTTCGGGCAATAAAAAAAACTACAAAACCTGATTTTCAACCTGACCCAGTGGACTACCAGTTTCCCAGTACGACTGCATGACCAAATTCGCCTTTCCTTTCTCTTCTCTGCAAATAAAACTTTTCTGATCTTTGCTGCTCAAGTCTGCCTCTGATTTCTATCCAAGCACACCAATGGACACTTGGCACCACCCAAGCTTCCCAGAACCTCACTCAACACCCTTGAAAAAACAAGGCGTTTTCCTCCTGTTGTTTTTTGAGGTGTGTTGGTTTGTTGAAATCTGCTTCACTTAAAAGGCTCATTAAAGCTCAGAACATCAGCATTCAGGAGAGATGGTCTCCAGAACCTTGGCAATACATCCGGGGGTGTCTTTGATGTGGGATGGCAGGCCCTGCTTGCATGCAGTCTGTGTTCCCAGCCCTGAGACTCGCCCAGAAAGGGCCTAGTTTCCTCCCTGACTTTTGTCCCTACCTTTTGCCTTTCCCTTCTCTTCTTCCCATCCAGTCTCAAGGCAGTGCTGAGACAGCTCCAAGGTTCTAACAGAATGGAGGAGGGGAAAGGATGGGTTGCCTGTGTGGCTCAGTGGTGAGCACTTTCCTAGCACGTGTAAGACCCTGGGTTCCACCCCAGCACTAACCCCCGACAATAAAAAACAAAAAACTGAAGGAGAGAACTGAATGTGGGTCCTGGGGATCCGCCTAGGGCTTCTCCTGCAGTAGCACAGAGGACAATTTTATAGCATTTCACACGGTCACATGGTGTGATCCTGTCTCATGTTGGTCTCATCCCCAGGTTCCCCCCACTCACCCCCTCCACACCAGGGAAGGCAGGAAATGGCAGACGTCTTTGGAACCCCAGTGATCTGTGCCCTGTTGTGACAGGTGCTCCTGTGGGGCTTGTTTCTACCTTGAGTTTTGATGAGAGCCCGCACGCTCTCCTGCTATAATCAGCTTGTAAGCTTCTGGTGCATGTCTGTGTATTCACACCGCTCACATAGCAAAGAACAGCCCCGAACAGTGCTCAGTACGGAATCAAAATTAAACTGGATTGGAAATTCCTGGCCATCAACTAAAAGCCCAGGCTCTCCCATGAAAGGGAGATGAAGCTGGGTAGCTGTCTGAAGGAGGCCCTCGGGTGTCTCGGCACACCACTGCCCTCCGCTGGGCCCTGAGCAGAAGCTGCCCTGGGCCCCGCATGCTGCAGGACTCGCTCAGGTTTCCTTCCCTCCCTCTCTGGTTCAGAGGCCTGGGCAAACCGGTTTCTGGGTTGGCTTCTCTTACCAGGTTAGTTCATCCTGACTGCCCTGCATTGAATTCAGGAAACCTGGGAACATTCAAAGATCAAGATCTTCTTTGACGCCTTGAGTACAGAGGGTTTGATAAATATTTAGGATGAGAAAGTAAATATGGTGACGCATTCCTGGCATGCCACACGCACTGGGACCATGGTGACTAAGTTATCCTTCATGTCACACATTGCCTTGGAGGACAGAGCTCAAATTTCGTATCCTACCATAAGTGATGGTACAGCTTCTGCTCTCCCCCGCCCCCCAACAGCATGAAGTACACCGCAGATCTAACACGGACCTAGATGTCCTGCCTTTCCCAGCCCACCTGTTCACTGACGTCACCTCCGAACGCCCCCCCCCCGCCCCCGCCGAGTGATCATTCTTGTCTTCTCCACTGACCCAAGAGAAAACAACAAAGGAGGTTTTGGGGTGCACTTCTGTATGTCTCCTTCCTTCACTGGGCTGTGTGACGGCGGGACCTGGTCATCTCCATTCCTGAGACCCCCTCCTATCACAGAGCCGCTCATCTTTGTGAAAGCAACCTGGCTAAATCACTGCAGTCCAGTCCAGAGCAGCAGGACAAACGTCGCTCCTCCACCCCTGCAGGGGGCGCTCGGGCAGCCAGCGTCTGTCTCTCTGCTTCTTTCCTTTCCTTTTCTTTGCGAGGTGTCCCAGGCTGATCCGGAAGTGGAGCCTCTCCTGCTTCAGCCCGCAATGCTGGCATTACAGCCCGGAACCCGCACGCCGAGCTTCGTCTCCCGGCGGCGGAGCTCTCCTGCCGCTCCCAGAGGCCCGCGCTCAGGCTCCGCCCCCTCCCGCTAACATCCCTGCTGCCTATTGGGCGAGCGCGGCCGGGGCTGTCCAATGGGGCGAGGCGTTGGTGCGAGGAGCGCCGCCATCTTGGGGCGGCAGGGAGCGCTGGGGTAACTGGGCGGATCGCCGGCTGGGGTCGGCGGCCTTGCCTCCTACTTCCCTCCGCGCTTGGCACGATGCCGCAGTACCAGACCTGGGAGGAGTTCAGCCGCGCGGCCGAGAAGCTCTACCTCGCCGACCCGATGAAGGTAAGGCGCTGGCGGTGCCCGGCCCGGGTCAGGTGTCTCCCTGCGGCTCCGGTTCCGGTTCCGGTTCCCCCCACGCCCGGTGCGAAACGGGGCCCGTCGTTCCCTGGCATGGCGGGGTGGTTCCTCCTTGGGGGTCAGCGGCCGTGGGAGCACCAGGACACTTTCCCCACTCCGCGCCCCGCCGTGAGCGCCGGTGACAACCCCGAGGCGAGCTGCCGCCCCCCGAGGGCCGGTGCTGCTGGAGGCCGCGGTGCGCGCGTGTGCGGTGAGCGCGTGGTCCGGACGGGGAACGCGGAAAGCAGTGGACGAGCGAGCTTCCCAGCTGGGCTCGGGGCTTCCTGTGTGCGATCTCTGGAGATCAGTGGCGAACATGGTGTGTTCCTAAGAGCTACCGGGGCTGGCGGAGTGCACAGTCCCTCCTTAGCGGCCGTCCGGAAGTACCCACGTTGTAAACTAAAATCTTTCCAAATGTACGGGGGGAAATGAAATAAAATTAAAGTAGTAGCTGCAGCCCACCACTGAAGAGAGCTTGTCTAAAACAGACTAGGGAGGGAGGACCGTTCATCTTTTTACCCAGCTATAAAACTGAATCCTGGTGATACCCTGCTGATAGTTTTAGAGTGGTTATTGGGGTGAGGGGACGAGAGAAGGGATGCGTGAGTGGGAAGAGCGTGATCTGCAGTTCTGTTGAGTGCCTTGTATGTGTTGGCCATTTCCCAAATGTGTATGTGATGGGTGTTAAACAGTTAAGTACCAAAAATGGCTTACCTTGTTTCTAAGAGATTAGGCCAAAATAAAAATCCAGGGCTCTGAACGCAAGTCCATTCTGTTTCTACCAGGGCTGAAGAAGAAATTTTGTAAGGACTCTGGACTTTGTTTTCTAAATGCTGTCTTCTGTCCCCAGCACATTTAACCTGATGATCGTGTCCTTTCTTCTTTGCCACTGTTGCCTGCACTGCTCTAATTGGAAATGGCATTTCAGGTGGATCCTATAACTGCTTCTTTGTTGGTGTGTGATGCTTGCCTCGTCCCTCTCTAAGTCCCAGCAGGACTGTCTAAACAGAAATTGAATTCTCCCTCTCCTGCTTAAAAACTGGTTCTTCAGAAGGGGCTGTGGGTCTATCCTGTAATCCCACCTACTCAGGAGGCAGAGACAGGAGGATGACAGGCCAGTCCATGCGAAAGTTAACAGGATGCTATCTGAGAAACAAGCCAGGCGTGGTGGTGTGTGCCTGTGGTCCCAGCTACTCGGGTGGGAGAGGGGAGAGAATCACAGTTGTAGTCCAACCTGGGCAAGGTTAGTGAGAGACCCTATCTGAAAAACAGTAAAAAGCAAAAGGACGTGGGGTGCGGCTCAATTAGTAGAACACTTACATAGCAAGTGTGAGGCCCTGAGTTCCAGTACCACATTAAAAAAAAATGTTTTAAAAGTTTTTTAGATTAAAAAAACTGCTACTGATTGACTGGCTTACCAGGCAATTGCTGGACTCTCTCCAGATTGACTTTGTGTCTCATCAATTCTACCATCCTCAACTGTAGACTCCGTGAGGCTACAGAGCTAATCAAATACTTGTTCGGAAGGCTTCTCATCCTTTCTCACACCTTCTTCCCTAGAGGAAAAAGCACCTCCTAAAAAAGGTGGCTCTTTCCTTCTAATAAAATTGTTTGTTGTCTCCCTTTAGCATTTTATCTGTAGGTGCCTTTTTAGGGTTTAATTCATTTTGTCTTGGGTTTTGGTAATTTTGGAAGACAAGAATTTTACCACTGAACCACCAGTGCTGCCTTCTAATATTCTGGTTACTTTGCTGGTTGGATTCAGAGTTGGAAAGAGGGTAAGACTCTTGGCTTCTTAGAGACTCAGGCACCTCTTGAGTTACACAGTGGACACTGTCTTACAGCATCACAAAGCCCTGTAGCTGCTCTCTCCCGGGGAGAGCAGTGAGTATTCTTCTCACTGAAAGTTAACACTTCAGGTAGATGCCATGCTTATTATATTTCTAAATTTTAGTCTCTAGAGAAGTCTTTCACTTCGTTAGTTTAATAGGTCAGTAAATGGATTAAATATCCTAACGTAGCTTGACTGTTCTGTATTTCGTATCTTAAGTGTTGGATGAGTATCCTCTCTTCCCTCACCAAGACAAATCTCAAAGACGTGTAACGCTTTGTCCTTTTTTAGCTCCTCCATTCTTAGCAATCTTTAAAACAGGTTGTGGTTTGCAAAAAGTCACTGCTGCCATCGCTATGCTTGCATCCATCATTAAAGCAAAAGGTTGAAAGGGGTCGAGAGTCACTGGGTACTGTCTTACAGCAATATGCTAACTCCTGAATGATGTCTTGGCTGCTTACTGTAGAATACGGAATAGCTTGGCATTCAGTGTTCTAGAGTATGTCAGTGTTTGGAAAAGTCGTTGGTGGAGATTTCTTTTCAAGGTAGAATTCTGCCACTAGGTAATAATGCCTTCATTCTGCCTTCTTGATAAAGACGTGCTTTTATGAACACTGTATCTGAACCTGCCTCCTGAGAGCATGGAAAAAGGGCAGAGTAGGAGCTGGACCGCAGCACTGTTTTCTGAAGAATGGGTTTGGACTTTAGTCATCTCAGCTAACTCGTTTTTCATTCTGTTAATGTCATTCCTCTGTGGCAAGGTGTGCTGATGGATATTCTTTTATGTTTTTCTTTTTTTTTTTTTTTTGGCAATGCTAGGGTTTAACTCAGGGCCTCATGCTTACTAGGCAGGTGCTCTACTACTTGAGCCACTCTGCCTGTGATGTATATTCTGAACAGCAAGAGATGCCAAGACACCCCACAGACAACCTGATGTGTTTTGGGACATCTCTGCAAATACAATATGCATTTTTTAAAGACTTTTAAAAAAAAAGTGTAGAACTAGGAATGAGCTAAAATGGCTGAGGTTTTTTGTTTGTTTGTTTTAAAATATCATTTCAGTAGTGATAATATTACAAGTGCCTTCAGATGTTTTAAAAGGATACTTTTTCAGCCCATCTAAAGACATATTTATGAAAGACAGTTTCTATACATGTATTTTGTTTGTTTGTTTGCAGGTACGTGTGGTTCTCAAATATAGGCATGCTGATGGGAATTTATGCATTAAAGTAACAGATGACTCAGTTGTAAGTACACATTTTTATTTGTTACATTTTTTCAGATTTCTGTGGCTTGATCATTTGTTTGAAGTTATTTCATAGCATTTATGCAGATTACCCATTTTATGCTTATTGTACATCTCATTCCAAACTGGAAACCTCATCCTAAAACCTATGTTTACAGACTCTGAAGAAATAATTTATCTTGCTTCATTAGCAGTTGCTCTCTTCAGGGCTGGCAGAGGGGCTCAAGCAGAGAGCACCTCCCTGCTTGAGAGTGAGATCCTGAATTCAAACCCCAGTACCACTAAAAAAAATTGTTCTCTTCAGACCTCAGGCAAGAAGAACTGTGTAAGGGTCCTCTGCATATGAGCCAGCAGAGGTTTCCCTTTTCATGTGTGAGATGTAAAACACTAGTTTACAGTAACTCTCCTTCCTGACCTCCCTCAAGTCCCCTTTATTCCTGTGCCCTGTGTTACCTGCTGTCTGCATTCAGCACTCCACTGACACAGCTCTTGGTGAGATCTCACCAGCAGTGCCTTAATTCTCTGATCCGGTGGTCCCTTCAGCTCATTTTTGGCTTGATCTTGTCACTTTTGATACGAGACTCCTCCTCTCGTGGAAGTTATTATCCCGGTACTGTGGCTCCATTTTGTCTTGACAGTATTTTTCTGTGTTGTTTCTTTCTTGTTCTCCCATGGATACCTTGTTTCCTCAGGATTCAGTCCTTGGTTGTCTTTTCATACCACTGACAGAGCAGTCCATTCTCAAGTCCAGTACTGCCTGTGACTGTGCCTACTTGCAGATTCCTGCGTTTAGCTCCCGCTTTTCCTCTGACTTCTGACTGACCCTGAAGTTGAGTATCCTTGCCTCTCGTACCCCTCAGAGTTAGCCTGTGCGGACTGGAGCTTATCAGCTCCTCTCTGTCTGGCTCTTTGCCATCCAGAAAAAGGCAGAAGAAACAATGGCAGGAAGGACTCCCGCATTTTAAGCAATTGTATGACCCCACCTTGCCAGTATCTAGACCACTTAGTGAGCGTGTGCTGTGTGATCCCTGGCAGTGTTTGCTGTACAGAACAGAACAAGCTCAAGATGTGAAGAAGATCGAGAAATTCCACAGTCAGCTAATGCGCCTGATGGTGGCCAAGGAGTCCCGGGCCGTCACCTCGGCGGAAACGGACTGAACGGTGGACGTGAAGACTGTCGTGTTTAGAGAGTAAATGTCTTGAATTTGAGTAAGTGCTGGGCAGAACTAAAGGGCTACTTGAAAGCTGAGAGGGTTTGTTTTTGTGCTTAATGTTTGCTTCAGATTGCTAGGAATGTAAGTGCTTTGTTAGAAGGCCTTTGTTTATTTTTGGAAACGGAACAAGATTCATTTTCTCAAACTTTTGACATAATATTTGATGTTGAGCCAAATATATGTGACTTCCGGTGAATTTACGTCAGTAATTTGATAATGAAATACCATCAAAAGCAACTCTTCCTAAAATTCAGTTCATTTCTGTTTAAGAGAAAATTGAACATGACCCTTTTTCTGGATTTTTTGGGGCAAAATGTGTACTATTAACAGCAAATAAATACATCAGCTGTGCACTGTAGGATGCCATATGTGGTAGTACAGTCTCAGTTGTGAATAACAAGTGGGCTTTACTTCAGGCTTTCTGGATTGAACTTTAATTTGAATGTTAGGCATTCGTATTGTCAATTTGTTGAGCAGAACTTACAACCTGGTTTTCAGTAATCAAAAACAAGCAGTTACTGGAATGCATGAACAGAATGACAATGACTCCAATGGACTGAAACCACCATATTCCACAGTATTTCCTATTTCCACCTGTAGTTTCTCAGATGGGCCCAGGATCATTCCTAACACTAAAGTGTTAAGCATGAGTGAATTCCAGTAAGCCAGAAGTGTGATATCCTTTCATACAGATCCTGTATGTGTACTTTGATTTGACCATCTTAAAGTAATATTCCTAGGTTGCTTCATCAAGTGAAGGTATTACAGTAAAACAGTTTTTGTAGACATTTGTCATGTTGAACATTTTAGCATGGAAAGTTCCATTAGCCTTAAGAATTTTGGCATGTTTCAGGGAGGTCAATAAATAAACTATTACGTAAATATATATTGTTTTTGTTGAATTTTTAACTTCTCAAGAAGTACTGATTCCTTGACTAGAGTGTACCATACTCACTTACCCTCTGTGAACCTAGTGATGCTGAAAGCAAACATTTTTGTTATTTTTCTCAGCCTTTTTTTTTTTTTTTAAACTGTATGACTTTCTTTGAGCTAGGTTGTTTTATTGCATGGGGAAAGTGCTATGAAGTAGTTCCTGGGTGTTTTGGCCTCAGATTTCCCCCAGAACTAATGGGGTTGGGGGGCTGGCCTTTTTCTCATGTACAGCTTCTGCTTCCTAGTACTACTTCATAGAGACCACTTGGAACAGAGGGACTAACTTTTGAGTCTTTGAGTCCTCGTAACTTACAGCAGAATTGTTCAGAGCAGAGGTGCCAAGGCCGACCTCCCAGGTTGCAATCTTGACTCCACTATTTCCTACCTGTTCTTAGAGAAGGTAATTCTATAAGCCCTTGTTTTCCTCTCTGAACATTGAGTGGATAGTTATACCTTCATTATTGGACTGTTAGGAGAATTAAATGGCCTGATCCATTTAAAGATTTTTAGCTCAGTGTCTAAAACATAATAAATCTCAGTGCATAGTAGCTGTTGTTACTGTGATTGTTGTGATTACTACTTCAGGGGAATCGGTAAGTAACGAGCTCTTTATCACATGATACCTACAGGTAACACCTGCCTTTTCTCCTGAACTATGCCTCTTACTGGTTGTCAAAACAAAATTAGAGACCATATACATAATAAAAAACCAAATTGTAACATTGTGAATTCTTTTATCAAGTATTTCTTGCTGTTATAATCACTTTTCTAGATTTCTTTTTAGCAAACCGTTCTGTGACACAATTGATCAAAAGGTCCACTCTTCCAGAGCCCATAGCCCATTGAACTTTGCTGGTACACTGCAATTGTTCTTTATTCTGAAGTGTTGGCTTCTGCCTTCCAGGGATTACCTAGCCTGCCAACTTTGTATCTTAAAAACAAAATCCTTTTGCTACAGTGCTAAGTCATTGATTAGATGCAGTGTTGGCAGCATTTTACAGTTAGTATCATCTGTTACTCCTAGAAAAATCTAACATTGACTCTGATGGTAACAGTCCTGAAAGTGTTCTAAAACTGATTCAAAATGAGTCTTCGTGAAAGAAATTCATTGCCAAGAACAGTAAGTAGGAGGTCTGTTCCTGCCTGCTAAAAATGAAAAACCAAATTCCTACACAAAACACAAAGAAAGTGTCATTTTCGTCTTCTACATAGAATTTATGTCTTATCCTCTTTTTTTTTCCTTTTGGCAGTATTAAGGCTTGAACTCAGGACTTGCTAGGCAGGTGCTCTTAGAGCTTTGACATGCTGCTGGTCCTTTTTGCCCAGGCAAGCCTGGATGTGGAGCCTCCTGTTTTACATTTCTCACCATCACTGAGATGACGGGCCTGTACCACCATACCTCATTTTTCTGTTGAGATGGCATCTCAGGCACTTTTTGCCCAGGCTGGATGGAACTGTGATCCTCCCCATCTCAGTCTCCCAAGTAGCTAGGATTGTAGTCATGAGTCACTGTGCCCGGCTTTCATCTATCTTTCTTACATTAAAGGTACCAGCTGGGCTAATTCTAGATAAGATGTGGAAGGCACTTTCCACTGTGGGTCTCGCACTGTGAATGTATGACTGGTACTGAAGGACTCTGAGAAGAAAATGGTAGAAGGTAGAATGGGGGAAAGACTAGAATTTGAAGTACTGCTAAACCAGTGTTGAGTCTACCCTTTTTCTCCCTTCTGGAGCCCTGCACAGAGGAAGTACTGGGTACCAGAAGCCCTCCAGGTCTGGCTCGGGTGGAATGGGGAATTCTAATAGAGTGCAGAATCCTTTTATTTTCCTTTCTGTGTCTTACGTCCCATTCTCCAAGCAGTCCCATGGTGGTGGTCTGCAGGAGCAGAACTCCAAAGATAAGGACCTTTCAGTAGAGTTGTGTTTCCAAGTGTGGGTGCCAATCCCCATGCTTTTTTCCTGTCTTCTGTCCATGAGGCCCTGGGCACAAGCACAGTGACAGAAGAACACAGGTTAGTTAAGCTTCAGTCTTCCTGCCAGAGAGCAATCACAGGGACCTAGAAGATCCAGGGGAGATCACAAAGAGGAAGGAACTTGTACATAAAGTTACTTATGAATTTCTGGGTTCACCTGCCAAACTACACATGTGTATAGATGTAGCCTTACTCAGCATACCAAAGACTTAAAAAGAAGTGAGCAGACAGACAGACCACCACCCATAATCTAACAGGATGACAATCTGAAGGTGTTCCAAATACTGTAGATCCAAATAGTACAGTGGAGGTTTTGAATGTTGAACGGACACTAGACCCACAGCCAACAAAAGACAGGTTGGAATATGACTTGTGGTTGCTTGCACAATCAAACTAAAATTCATATCCTCCATAGGGTGTGAAGAAGACAAGAGTTTAATAACAACATGCACAAAACCCATGAGTTGATCGAGAACCAGTCACTGTGTCCAGAAATTGGAAGACAACAGATCGCAGCACCGAGATGTCACAGACGTTGAAATTACCTGAAAAAGACATTAAAGTAACTATTTAAAAAGTGCTTCAACAGGTAATTATGAATGCTTTTCAAAACAATCTCAATAAAGAAATAAATGGTACAAAAATGAATTAAGTGGAAATTTTAGAACTAAAAAAAAAAAAACAAAATTTAAAGCTCACTGAGTAGACTGTTAGAATGAATGAAGGAGATAAACCAAAACCATGAACAGAGCTTCAGAGCTCTGTTGGACGATAACGGAAGATCTAACATTTGTGCCATCAGTATTTCAGGAAGGAGAAAATACGGTGCTGACAAAAAGATGAGGGCCCTGAGTTCAGTCCTCAGCACCGAAAAAAACAAAAGACTTAAAACAGCATTTGAAGAATTATTTTGTGAGAACCTTCTGGGGTTGAAGAAGCTCTAATTCATGCCTAAATAATGGTAATGAAGCAGGTGAAAATTAGCCATTTTGTGAGCAGCCAGAGGAAAACAACACACCACTTATGGGAAGTAGTGATTCTCATCTGAAATCACAGAAGCAGTCATTCCTAAGACAACAAGAGAAGAGGAGCATGAAGGGTAGTTACTTCCATCATCATGTAAAAAGAGGCTCTGCAGCAAGTCCCTCCAGCAGAAGGGAAATGACAAGGGGAATTGAAACACTCCAGAAAAAGTAACAACAGAAACGATAACCATCTGGATTAAAGCAGTAGACTTCTGGAGTTCCTAGCGTACATTTAATTCCTGAATAAACGGAATAGCTCAGTGGTAGAGCACTTCTGCAAGAAAACCAAAAACACTGACATGAATAACAAAGGCAAAAGGTAAAGGGATGTGTTGTAAGTTTTCCACATTTCACCTGAAGTGGTAAAATTCTTCCCAGTAGACTGGAATTCTGAGTATGGAAATAAATTTTTTTAACCGTGGAGGCTGGGAACGTGGCTCAACTGGTAGAGCACAAGGCTCTGAGTTCAAACCCCAGCACACATCAGCCCCAACGCACACACACACACACACACACACACACACACATCAATATTTAAAATGAAATTAAAATAGGTTTTTAGGAAGAGTTTTTCCTGAAAAGCATCGACTGCTTGCTTGGACCCACAAGTTAACTGAAAGCAGGATACAAGCTTGGCACCCAGCCTCCACGTTACATCTGTCTCCTTTACTGAGGTCCTGCAATCACTTTGGGTTCCAAAATGATCAACGGCATCTTTATGAGGAGGAACTGAAACTACCCCCAAGGGAAGGAACACAGAACCTTGAAGGACAGACCACCCAAATGAGGACAATTACCTAGAATGGTGAGGCCACACCCTGGAGCAGGAGTAAGCATCTCGTGGGAACCAGGTTGCTCCTCTCAAGTGATGACAGCAATAACTTCTCCAAAACTCCTTCCTTCTCGGTACCTGGACTGAGATAAGGAGCAGACTACACTTCTTTCCAGGACTGTTTATACATACTTCTCCCACTGTTCTGACTTCTTTAAACCTCAGAGCTCTTGTCTGTGCCCCAGTAATGGGCTAGAATGCATACCCATCCCACATGATGCTCTGCCCTCCACCACTACTCTGTGTGAGATGGTGTTGGGCTGAGTGACCAGATAGCCCTGGCTGCCTCCACCTCCATCCTCCTGTCTCAGCCTCCTGAGTGCTGGGACTACAGATGTACACTGCCACACATGGTTCCAAAATGTTTCTTAACCTGTCTCATGTTTCCTTATGATTCTATTTGTATTGTGCATTTTTCATGTAAATGTTTTCTTTGTGTGTGTGTGTGTGTGTGTGTGTGTGTGTGTGTGTGTGTGTGTTGCAGTACTGGGGTTTGAACTCGGCCTCATGCTATACCAGTGCTCTCCCACTTGAACCACACCACCAGCCATTTTTTGTGTTGGATATTTTGGAGCTAGGGTCTCAAACTGTTTTCCTGGACTGACCTCAAACCTCAAACCTCCTGCTCCTTGCCCCTCAGGAACTTGGATTAGCAGGAATAACCAGCCGGTGGCTTGTTTTGTAATGTTAGAAAGATTTTATATTGCCCAGCTGGCTTGAACTTGTGTTCCCAAGAGCTGGAATTACAGATGCCTGCTATTATACCATTCAAGGCTTGTGCTCCTGGGAAATCAGGAAAGGTCGTCCACCTTTTGTTCGAAATGTCCCCCACTCATTTTTCATACCTGGTGTGTTAGCTTTCTGTTGAACTATCAAGTACTCCCAGATAATCAACTTAAAAAAGGTTTTGGCTTTCAGTTTTAGAGGTCTCAGTCCATGGTCAGTTGGCCTGGTCGGTTTGGGCCTCTGGTGGTACATGATGGAGGATATAGCAGAACAAAATTACTCACTTAGTGGCCACAGAAGTAAAAGAGGAAGAGAAACGGGGCACACTCACAGTGAATACTTCCTACTGGGGATACTTCCGACTGGGCCCACCCTGTTAAGGGTTCCACGTCCTGGGTGGGACCAAGTTTTTAACACATGCACGTTTGGGGGACCACAAGATTGAAACTATAGCATCTGAAAAGTACAAGTTTATATAGAGGAACAACTTTTGTTCTATTTTTTATTACTGTTCTACAGGTCATACTATACTCATTCTTTTACTCTTTGGACTTTTTAGTAGCTTTTGACCAAAAGGGAAAATTTGTTTAAATTTTGCCCTGCTGAGTTGAACTCTGACCTATTTGTTTCTGGACTGCCTCTGTGTAAGTTGTACTTAGAGATATTTTGCAGTGTTAGATTTCACTCTGGATGGAAGATAACCAGGGAAGGGTATGCAGACCAGGAGTGAAGCTTCCATCTGGGGGCAGGCTTGTTTCTATGTTTGAAAAGCCTTTAGATAGGGCATCCTATCCACAGGTACTGCATAGGCAAAGGCTTGAAGGTGGGAATGAGCTGAATGTGATTGTTGGTCAGAAACTCATTTAAATGGAGTTCTTGATGAGCCGCGAGGTTGGAGGCCCAGGGTGGGGTGTGTGTGGCTTGGCGATTTCATCCTGAAGTGTGTGCAACGGGCCCTGCCTGACTTCGTAGCCTGATGATGAGGATGCCGTGGCAGAAGCACCACCCGAGGCTGTTGGCGGGGACCAGGGTGCTAGTCGGGCCACGCAGGTGAGGGCAGGTGTGCTAATCCGCGGGTGGGAGATGAGCCAGAAACCCAGGGTCGTAGTGACCGCGATCCAGGCCCGGCCTCTTCCAGACCCGAGGCGCCCGCGCGGACTGCATCGTGGATCCCCGCGGTGAAGCCTGGTTGTTCAAAGACGATCTCGTCTTTGTGTTTAGCCTGCACAACGCGATGGCAGCGAACTGCCCGGAGGACATCTAACAGAGGCCTCGGGTGGGGATGCCTGCGGAGGCGGAGCCTTGGGAAGGCGCAGGGCAGAACTGCTCAATCGGAGGTCGGGGCGGGGCAGAACTGCGGCCGGAGACGCGGAGGAGCGGGAGCCCAAGGACCGTAAGATACAGTAAGCGCCCGGCTGGGGCGGGAGGGGCGGATCGGCGCCGCGGTTCTGTGTGGGAACCAGGGCGAGAGGACCGGGAGGTCCAAGCCAGTCGGGGGACACGGTGAGCCCCTGTGTCGGAAAAAAAAACAGAAAAGTTAACGGGCGTTAGAAGCCCGGGAAGCCAGCGGTCTTGAGTGGCAGGGCGGCGGAGACCCGAGTCGCCCGCCGGTCTGCCCGACAGGTGCGGGTTCACGGCGAAGCGTCTGTGTGAGCTTTCTGCCGCTTTTGAGCCCGCGTGCGAATGTGTGTGCGCAGGGTGCGCGCGCGCATGTGTCCTAAGTATTGTGCGCGCGCGCGCGAGCGAGAGAGGCCTGAGTGCTGTGTGCGCGTGCGTGTTTCCAAGCACCGTATGTGTATGCGCGGGTCCTCAGTGCTGCTCGCGCGCGCGTTCCCTAAGCACTGTGCGCGCGTGAGTCCAAAGCTCTGTGCGCGCGCATGTGTCCTAAGTGCTGTGTGTCTGCGCGCGCGCGTGCGTCTTCCTTTAGCAATGCTGCGATCCTAACTTTGACACTTTTTTGAGTGGCGCGCGACGCCCGCTCCTGAGGTTTAAACTTGGGCTCTGCCAGCTGGCCAGCCCTGCGGGGCCCCAGGCTTGGCGGATGCCACCTGCTTGGGTTGTGGCGGCAGAACCCTGGGTGATACAAGTGACAAACCTCCCCAGGTGGACGGTCACAGGTCAGCCCCAAGACCCAGCAGTGGTGGGATTTGGATACTGCTGTGGGGGTCGGTGCTTTCCTGCAACTGCGCGGCCTCCTCCGAATTCATCCGGAGGCCAACGGACATCTTCAGGAGCCACACTGTCCCGCGGGAGCGCAGTTCCTGGGTGTTGGTGTGTTCTTCAGGGAGCCGGATCCCGCAGGCCCCCTCCAGCAGAGCTAGCAAGCTCCAAACAACTTGGGAGTGGCCAGCAGTTTTCTTGTCACAAACATCCGCACGAGAAGCTCCACGTGAGGGCAGCTCACTTTCCCCAGGAAGTGGTCCACTGGGGCAGTGCCTTGAGACTGGGCTGTAGGGTCTCACGCTGCTCTTCATGGGATTTTCTGGACAGGGCAATAAAACAAGTTTGTAAAGTATAAATTATATTAGATGATGCAGTGTGCTATGGAGAAACAAAGCATTAAAGAGAGAGATCGGGAAAGTGTTGGGTGAAGAGAGAGGGCCCCACTGAGAGGTGACATTTGAAGGAGATAGGGAGTGACTGTGCTCTGTGGTTATGGGACCAGGCTGAGGGAAGAGTAAAGGTCCTGACATCTTGGCAGGAGTGTGCCAAGCATGGATGACGTTTATGTTCAGGTGTGCAGACTGTAGACCAAGGTGTGGTATACATGCCAACCTGTCAGTGAGAGGACCCTTACATTTCAGGTAAAGGGGACCCCTTCCACAAAAAGAACTCTCAGCAAGGCAGTCTGGTTAACTCAGTACCACCTGAAACACCCCCAGGCTCCCCTCTCCACATGGCCCCACCCGCCTGGCTGTGCTGCAGTGAGGGCAGGTGATAGAGAGGGTTGTCCAGAACAGAGGGAGGGTTCGGTGGACACGGACCTTTAGAGGAAGGGAATGCTGGCCACACAGGATGAAGTGGGGCACCTCCCCAGTTCGTGTTGCCAGGTTCCACACCCAGCACAAGTACCCAGTGCTGCTCCTGTCCACAGAAGGTGGACATGCCTGGGCACAGTTGTTGCACAACTGGCAACTCCATTCTTTCCCCGGCATCCTGGCCCAAACCCAGGTATGTGAGGGGTAGAGGCTGCCAGACTCCCTATCTCAATTCTGTGTCAAGAGAGCCCAGAGCATAGAACACACTGAGGACAGAGTGAGAACGGTGGCCAGCGCGGTCTCCCGCTGCATAGAGGCCCAGAGACTGGCCCATGGAGCCTGCCTGTGGTGGCCAGGGCCACAAAGAGCTGGGCTCTGACCACCTCTGAGCAGCCTGCACCCCATAATTAGCATCTGTTCCTCTGTGGGAGATGTGGAAAGAGGAAGGGCCTGGAAAGTAGACCTGGCAGTTTCCCTCCTGGGCCTCGGCAGAGCAAGGAGGCCAGCAGGACACTGTGGCTCCTGCAGGTGCTGTAGGGTGGCTCTATAATGAGAAGTCCCAGGACACTCAGGAGAGGAAGTATGCAGGTGGGTTGTGGTGGGCTTGGTGGGTCTCAGCACCCACGCCTCTGAAGGGTACACTGAGGACAGAACAAGTGGAGTGGTAAGGTGACACCAGGTGGGTTCCACCCAGACCACAGATCCTCTGTGGCTGCCTGTGCCAGGTGCTGGCCTGGGCCTGGCTTGGTGTCTTCTGTGGCCTTCAGTGGGGAGGTAGCCGCAGGCAGAAGCCACTACAGTCCCCCAAGAAGGAAGCAAGGCACCAACCTCTCCTGTGGCTTGTGGTGGCCCAGAAAAGCCAGGGGTCCTCTCCTTGGTCACAAACCAGAGCCCTGCCAGCGATTGCGCAAGTAGGCTCAGGGGACACTCCTCTCCCCCAGAGCAGCTGCTCCACTCTCCTTCAGCCCCTTGGCTTCGAGGCCTGCACCGGACAGCACACCTGACAGCACTGTCACTGTGTTCTACTGCTGGACTCAGTGCAAGGTTGGGGAAAGTGCCCTTCCCTGGAGTCAGACAGACGTTTGTGGCCGTTCTTAGGAGGCTGATGAACACTGGGAACATGAGCGGCCTCCTCTCAGGTGCTTCCTGGCCAGGTGGACTTAAGGAAGGCCTGGCTGAACTTCATTTTCAGTCCTCACTTCTGAGGGTCAGTCATTACCTGAATCCATGGTTCCTGTTGTGCCACCATGTCAGTTCAGGGCCTCTCTTTGCTCTGTTTGGGTTGTGGGTGCCTGGCCATATCCTGCCAAGGAAGGGCCCTGAGCATGCCTCCCATAGGCCACCTGGCTGTTGTCTTGAAGCTGAGGCCATAGGCTGTCCCTGTGCATACACGGAGGATAGAGACTGGATAGAGAATGAGCAGGTGGCATGTTAGGAAAAACGCCGCTCACAAAGAAAGCTCATGAGAAAAGTCTCACGTCCAAGAGCAAAGTTTAATGGCAGGCTCGAACTGCCAGGCTGGCTGGGAAAAATGGCACAGCAGCAATTCTGGGCCAGGCGTGGCTTTTATAGAAGGGGGCGTTAAGGAAGTTAGCGCGTGCACGGGAGTCTCTGGTAGGGGTGGGGCTGTCTTAGAGCGGGGGAATTTCTGTTAAGGGCAGGGGCTGTCCTTGGAAGTTTCTCAAGTGAGGTCTGAGGATAAAATGGCTGCCAGTTATAAATGGCGACATTATTGTTCTATCATTCTCCCATTTTTTCTTTAATAATGATGAGTGTAGGGGCTGAGGATCAGGAATTGGGGCAAAGCGTCGGCCTCCTTAGCTGCTTCCTGCTGGCAGGGGCCTTGTATGAGGCAAGATCCTCAGGCTCCTGTGTCCGGGTAGGTTGATATCTCTGGAGGTACAACTGGTAAAACTTTTGATTAGCAATAGCAGACGTGCAGTATGATACAAGGGAAGAAGCTCAAGAATAGGAGAGCAAGAACACAGGCATCAGGATGGGCACTGGCCAGGAGAACCACTGTGAAATGTTGTTTCCTAGACAATCAAGGGTCCTCCAATTCCCTTCCCCATTTTTTTAATTGTTCCTTGAGAGGTGTCACCACTGGGGAATCCCACTGAGCTTGACAGCAGTGGATGTCATGAGAATAACCAGATGAGGGCTGGTCCACTGAAGTCCCATTGGAGAGGGTAGAAGATCCTTTAGGAGAACAAGATCCCCTAGTTTAACAGAAATTATTATAGGGTGGGGCAGGATCTGGTCTGCATGTTCTCTGAGAAGTTCCCTGAGACGGTTAAGGTAAAGCAGGTAGTCAGCCAGAGGAGCAGAGTCTGTTGGAGGCAAGTTTTCTAAGAGAAATGGGTGGACATACGTTATTTAAGATGAAAATAAGAATATTAGGAGGAGCATAAAAAGGTGTCTACTAGGGGATTGCATATCTAGGGATCTAAATTTTGCAAAATCCTGTAACTCCCAAGAAAGCTGTAAGCTGCTTTATGGTATGGGGGTTGGGAAACGGAATATTGGGTTGATGCATGTATGACTCAGGAAGTGAGTCTGTTCCTTTAAGGCCACACCTAGGTAGGTGACCTGTGGGAGACAGGGGCTGTCGGGATTTAAATGTAACACTCTTGGATAAAAGAGAGCTCTAGCTCATTTTTATATAACTTTGTAAATGTTTGTACCATGTTTAGATAAAGTATAGACACAACACTGTTACCAGGTGGTCATTTAAGACACATAAGCAAATATGTAAATAAACTCTGATTTAGTAGTACTTAAAGCTTGACAAGATCAGCAGAAAATACAAATAATTTTTTTGATAAAATCTTTCTCTGTAATGGTTTTTTATAGATGTTACTCAGAGCAGAACAATATTAAGATAACCTTGCTATTTCATAGACATAGAGGATTTGATTTTAGTTTGACATGACCCTAAAAATCTTTTAGGCAACACTTAGATTATACTCAACTTTAACTTTATTACACATTGAAGCTTTTTATTATACACTTTTAAGACTTAACTCAGACCTTTATATAACATACTAAACCCTTTGATGGCTTGTCTTTATCCCTCCTATTTGAAACAATCTTTGGGACAAACCCTTCTTTACAAAATCCTTTCTCATCTAAAAACATTACTTTTTCCTTTAGCTTGTCAAAAAATACATTCACTTCTTATCTATATCCTTTCTAGTTGTTTACTTTGTAACTTGTATTTTAAAATTAAATTTTATAAGAATTTTACATTTATTATATTGGCTGGAGCAACTAATTAGTAGTTCCCCCCCCTTTTTTTAAGTAATTTATGATAGGCATGAGGCCTCATTGTCCCTCAGGCTTGAGGGGAATATTGGTTTGGGTGTGGAAACTGTGAGGGATTTTTGAGTTTTATTTGAATAGGGAGGGCTGTCCAGTCTCACCAT